CAGGTCAATTTTAACTACATACTGAGACCCTGTAAAAAAAAAAACCATAAACAAAGCCAGATCCCTCCCTGTAGCCCTACTCCAAAATAAATAGGTAGATTAAAAACTTAAACATAGAAAATGCAAGCACTAAGGAAACATGGAAAAAATTTTGCTGTGTGACACAAACATAAACCCAGAAGTCATAAAATAAATACCTAAATCTGACAACAAAAATTTATACCTAGAAACAAAAACACAAATAAATGTGAACTGTGCAAAAATATTTGAAACTCATAACCCAAAGAGCTAATTTTTGTTATAAAGAGCTCCTAAAAGGAATGAAAAGAACTTCTAGCAGTTTAGTGGGAATTAGCAAAGGATGAACTGGTCCCTAGATGAATACAAATATCTCTTAAGAAAATGTTCACCCATAATGAGAATTGTAAATTCCAAGTGTGAGGTGCCATTTCTCCCTTATCAGATTGGCACAGAATGGAAAGTTATATCAATACCGTATGGTGGTGAGGACAGGGGAAAAAGGCATTTGCCTACATAGCTGGCAGGAATGTAAATAGGACTCACGTCTATGCAAGGAAATAGCTATTGATATTAAGCCACATATCTTTGATCAGCCAATCGAATTCTATGAAATTATCCTAGGGATACACTCACACATGTGGAAATGAGGTATGGGAAGGCATAGCCCTTGTCTATCGCTTGCTGTGGTGAAAGATTAGAAACAAACCCCATTTAAACGGGTTGGTTGGGCTGGGGATTTAGCTTAGTGGTTCCGCTGTCTACCTTGAATACGCAAGGTCCTGAGTTGGATCTCCGGTACCATAAAATAAACAGGTGTTGGTTAAATTACAGTCTATCCCTATAGAAATATATATATACTCTGTAGCTGTGAAAATGAGCAGCTCTGCTTGCACTGATATAGAATAATTACTAAAAAATATTAGATTAAAAAGAAAGCAAGTAGCTGGGCATGGTGGTACACGCCTGTAATCCCAGCACTCGGAGGCTGAGGCAGGAGGATCACTGTGAGTTTGAGACCAAATCCAGCATGATGTCATTGCCTCCAGGAAGCCTCGCTGTCCCACAAGCTGTCTGCTGTCACTTGCTAATCACAGGCTCCATGCACACACCCAGGATGCCTGGCTACCTCCCTGTTTTACTGTTTTGTCCTGGGATGAGGAAGCTCCCCAGCTGGGTCCGCTCTGCTCCGAGGAGCACAGAGCAGCAGCTCTGGCCTGCTGGGGGGTGGCAGGTGCTCTGGGAGAGGAGAGACTGGGGTGGCTGGAGGCCGAATCCACCCCCAGTTGCCTGGAGAATCTTTTAAAACTGAAAATTGGATTGGGTCATCCCCCTACATAAAAACTTCAAATGTACATAAATAAAACCAAAACTCCTGCAAAAAGAAAGAAGCAAGCAAGGGGGCAGAATTGCGACAGGACGCCATCATTTTTGAGCTTAGAAGTTAAGATGAAAGATGGGAGGGAAACTATTGCCCGCTGTGCCTCCTGGTTGCTGAAATATACTCAACTCATATCCGCACAATAAAATACTTTATTCTTGTCTGTATTTCCAGAGTGAGGATCTGCTTCTTTTTGTAAATATTGCTTTTAAGGAAATTTCCAGAAATAAAGTACCTTCAATTATAGAATGGGTGTTGTTGCCATAGCTCCTTGTTTTAAAGCTTTTTCTCTCCATTTGGTGTTTCAAATGAACAATGTGAAAATGGCAAACTTCTTGCCTCCCTCCTTAAAACACACCCATTTTCCTCTGCTTGGATCTGATAGACCCTCATTGGGTTCCCTCGTAATGGTGACCATTTATGTCAGGGCTGAGGTCTGTCGTGTGCTGGCGTCACAAGGAGCCTGTAAGCACGGAGAAAGGCCTTCAGGGCTTGCAGGGGCTGAGGGCCTGCAGGTTCCTCCGCAGGACGGTGGCCCCTGAACCACTTTCTAAAGCACCGGAAACAGCCTTTTTGCAGTGAGGATCCCGTGTGGTAGAGTGGTCCTCTTTAATTGCTTCTCTTGCTGTGGTTTCAGGACTGAAAATATTAAATGGAAAATTCCAGTAATAAACAATTCCTACCTTTTAAATAACTCTTGTTGGCTTTCATGGTTAATCTCTTCCTGTGCCTAGTTGATAAATTTGAACTTGATCATGGATATGTATGTACAGGAAAAAACACAGCTATGCATAGGATTCCATATTATCCATGGTGTCCGGCTGTCTTGGAAAGTGGATAAGGGAAACCAATGCACAGAATTTAGAGCGTGGTTTCTTCTTTCAATGACTCCTGCCTCGGTACACACACACACACACACACACACACACACACACACACACACACACACGTCCTCCATGTCTTTATAAACATCCATGTTATGTTCCACACCTTCTAACTGGTTGTGTGTTCACCTTGTCTTCTCACTCAGCTTTTCAAGAATGGGATCTCACTGGAGCCCAATGCTCCGATATGAAATAAAAGGAATCCAAAGCAATTAGCCTCAATTTTACTTTCTTTGGTTTAGAAGCAATTTTTCCCTGCCAGCAGTGGCAGGTCCTGGTCATCCCCCATCCCCAAGCCCTCTCAAAGCTCAGATGTGGAGAGGCAACTGCAATGCTGCCTGTGAGGTCTAGGGAGAGGCTAGTGTTTTATTTTTAAAATGTTTACCATAAATCACTTCTGGTAGCTTTCTATGGCTTTCCCAGGACCTCTGATGAGCCCTTGCCTCTGTGACTGGCCCAGCGAAAAGAACGTCTGAAAAAGCAGCACAAAGGCTTCCCATAAACCCGCCAGTGGTTTCCCCACATGACATAAATTATCCAGTGAGAGGTGAAGGGACCCAGGCTGTGGAGGGCAGCTCTCAGCTACCCCCTGCTGGCAGGACGCTCTGTGACAAGGCAGCCCGACCACTGCCCAGCTGGCTCTGCCCTCTGTGTGCCCCCAGGGGCACCCAGCCCACAGCGCCTACCAACATTTACTGTTGGCAGCAGCGGGAGCCCCAAGCACACAATTCAAATCTGACTTCCTTCTGGCTAGCTGAGCATACTGGTTCTTCCAGTTGTGTAACTCTCTAACTTTTTATTTGTACCGTGGAGTTTTCTGGTCTAATCTTATTGCACAGACGGATGAAAAGGCAAATATGGAAGACTTCCTATGCTCAAAGTACAAGTCTGATAGCATAAAATATAATACGCCTAAATCATCACTGGTAAATCTCCAAAGTTTTAAAAATAAAGGTCCTTTGCCCTTGCCCAGCCTGGAACCTCACAATGGCTCGGAGTACAGCAGAAGGACAGTTTGGATGACGGAGCCGGGAGAGGAACTGGGGAACAGGCTCCCAGTCTGGAGAGTGGTCACACAGGGCTCCAAGGCTCCCAGCCCACTGCGACTGGGGTAAGAAGCAGTGACCCGGGGAGGCAGGAGGGAGGAGGCAGTAGCAAAAGTTCCTTCAGAAAACGAAGACTTTCTTGAGAAGTACGTGAATTTTGCACCGGCATTCTCTCTCTTCAGGGTCACTAGAAAGCATCTCTAGTCAGAAATAAATGGGCCCTGCCCAAGACGGGGAGTGGCAGGAACACACAATGTCATTTTGGAGTCCCTCGTACAGGCTTAACAGTCCCCCTGAACAGATGAGATGAGATACTGGGAGCAAAAGCCTGATGGTCAGGCCCTGAGTGGAAATTCTGAGCTCATCAGGCCTAAACTCAGGAAATCAAGGTCACACCTAAAGCTTAATGGTCTGGTAAGAACAGCAAATACACACTGTCCTTTCTTCTCCTGCTGCCAGGCATGTAATTGGTTCTCGTGCTACTTTTCCTAGAAGGCAATGTCATCCTCCTTTGGGAGGAAGGAAACAGAGAGGGGTGACAAATCTTTCACCTAGATGGCCCCACCTAATTATAAACAGTCCTATCTTCCAAGTGTGCTCCCCAGGTCCTTCATCAGCTGAGTCTCTCCTATGCTCAGGAGAAATCTCTTTCTTACTGTGATCACATGATCAAACTTCCCTAATGAAGGATTGCAAGCATTTTGTTTCAGAGGAGAGTGTGAAATGCACCTTTTAAAAATATAAATGAGCACTCTTTCACAACAACACTTACTGACCTGACTATGGCAGTAAAACTTTGATTACAGAGATTTCTCCCTTATGACATGCTTTGAAAAAAGAGGTCAGGGGAAACTATCAAGGGAATTAAGAAAGTCTTAGGAAAGTAAACGAGAAAATCTTATCCTAAACGGAATCAATACGTTCCTGTTCCACAGGGATCCATCTGTTGCCCACAGTGTACACACTCAACTCAGACAGAAATCTCAGAAGACTCCCCCATGAGTGAGGAGGGACCTTCTGCTCGCCTTGGTGATTCCAGGGGGACAGCCAGACTCCCAGCTGGCACAGGGCTGGAAGAGGGAGCAACTGCAGACCAGAGGAACATTCAGTGGGGCCAGAAAAGCTGTGTTGGTCAGCCTGAACCAGAACTTGTCTCTATTCTTGTTGTCACTTGCTTTATTTTGTCCCCCACCCCACTCCCAGACAGACCATATGCCCAGACAGCTGGCAGTATGTCTACTGTTTTCCATTATCATGTCCCAAGTGCTTAATGGGATGTTGGTATTCAAAAAGTAAGAGATACAGTGGTGCATCAGTTTACAAACTTAATTCTTTTCATGATCCTGGTCGTAAACTAAATTGGATGAGAACTGAATCAAATTTTCCCATAAGGTCAACATGGACCTAACCGCTGCATTTGATCTGATTCTTGTCCAATTTGGTTTGTGACCAGAATCGCAGAGAATCAGGTTTGTGAACCAAGGAACTACTGTACATTTAAATTTAGCTAAGAATTTGCTTTAATAAGTAAATCCGGCAAAAAGCAAAAGAACATACCTCTATTACTTACTAATGTCTCCTGAATACTAAAATTTATTTCATGATAGAATTAATAGCTGAACTATGAAACGGAAAACTTACTGAATTTTTAATTACTCAGTGATGTCTTTAAAATCTACAGTTTGGACATAAGTTTTGTTGAAAACTAGAGTCCTTTTACTTATCAGTATGATCCATAGAAAAAGTACTTGATGGCGACATTGTTGCCTGATTTCAATGCACTCAAACTGGAAGAGGAAAGAACACGAAATCAACTCTGATTGTCACTAATTCTCACCAGAGCCACAAGGCACTGCTGCCTTTGAAGCTCTTAGAAAATAAGGAATAGGGCCATTTAGCTCAGTGGTTCTGCCACCTGCTTTGCAAGTGCAAGGACCTGAATTCAATCCCCGGTACCAAAAAAGGAAAATAAGGAATAACCGAAGCAGCCAACAAGTCTGAAATTCAATTCTTTCCCTCCCCTCTGAACACACCTAAGACTTTTCCTAGCTTACTGTATCACTGATTAATAACTAAATAATCACTATTAACATTACACCAAATCTCTATTTTATTTTGTGAGATCCCTCCCCACAGCCATCACTTTGTCTCTTCTTCCTTTACCAAGCAGGGACAGAATAAAATGAGAATGGAAGATGGTGATGGCTAATGAATGGGGATCCGTGTCCAAAAACAAAGACGTCTTATGAACATTTTATAGCATTATCATTAATTCCTGAAAAGGCAAGAATTATAACAGGAAGCAAAATGAAACCCCCCAAAACTTGGAACTCAAACTTTTTAGGGAAAAAAATGCTATAAATATTAGAAGACCTAAAGAGAATATGTACATTTAGAATTCTGCCCTGATAATATACCTGATCATTCCTTCCTAGCACTCCCCACCCGGTGCTCTCCAATGAGACAAAAAGGCCTCCCGCCTTTCCTGAGCACATAGCGTTTATAAACTGTCGGACCCATGGTGAGTGTCTTTTAGGGAATTTTACCCAAGCCAAAAAGAAAGTCAAAGATAAAATTGCAGCACCGAGTCTGGGACAGAGCGGAGAACTGTGCAGTCACAGAGCCACAGAGAACTGCACAGTCCTAGGTCCCTGCACTCCGGGGCCAGGAAGACGGGTCCGGCTTGGCCGTGCGGCGACAGAGCTGCGCCTTAGGTCCCCCCCGGGGGTCCGATCTGTAACTCGCGCTCCAGCTGCTCTGCAGTCAGGGTGCCCTGGATGGCCTCGCAGCCCGGGTTGAACACAGAGTAGGCGCTCTTCTCTCCCTCCTTCCTCTCCCCAGGGCCTCGTGTCCCTACATACATCCAGTAGAACAAGGACAGGACGAAGTAAGCCAGGCCAAATTCCAGTTCCACAAACAGTCCCAGGAGGACCAACCAGAGAAGAACCTTCAAGAAGGTGATGTTGGTCAGGAAAGATGGGTCTCGGGGTGAAGGCAGAGGGGGCGGAGGACTGGCGACATTCAGTGGGGGCTGTGCTGTGCTGCCCCGGGGCTGAGCCGCCACCTAGGATACAAGCAAAGGAAAGAGTGAACGGGTAATGCTGCGGAGAGCATCAAAACTAATCTAGAAAGGCAGGTCTTATTGCTCCAGGAAGGCTGTGGCTCATTGATTTCTATTTTCTTGCTCCACTCTAAAACAATCATCGCCAGAGAGCTTCTGTGGCTGCTCCGACCGAATCAAAAATGATCAGCACTTAGTGAGATGTGACCCAATAAAAACCTTACAGCGTTCAGATGGGTTCCCATTTGTGGGCGTCGTTTCTTCAGATTAGTCTGCTACTAACAGAAGCTAATTTGTGCCCCAAACAGAAGCTGCCCACTAATTGACAGCGCAGCAACCCTGACGTTTGCCTCCCATACAGTCAGAGTCAATGGACATGTGCTGATTTGATTAGATGAGCTAAAATGGGATGAGTGACACAATTCTAAAGCAGAGACGATGCCCGAAACAGGAAACAAAAATCTCTTTCACGTTCTAAGCTATGGCCATGACGGGGCCCTCTCACCATCCTAAGCGTCCCAACCAAGTCCTTGCTGCTTACCCCTAAGCCTGGGCAACATCTCCTATCTTCGACTCCATGCCTCCCAACTCCTTCTCCCCAAGCCAGCTGAAGTACAGCGACTAAAAGAATCTTCCACACCACTCACTGACCTCTCACCGACAAACCTTCAACAAAGACGTTAAAAATCTAATCTCCTCAAGGTGCTGTCCATTCATTCAATAAACAGAAACGCTAGTACCGGGCCCATGTGCCAGACGCTGACGGGAGTCAGGTGTGTGCTATCTTTAGGAAACTTCCCCTCCAGTCCACAGTTTTCCGGACTTTTGGGCAGGATCTGCAATAAGATACACTTTACACTGCGACCTAGCGTCCATGTGTGCAATGGAGCAGCTTTCTGCTGTTTCCTATTCTAAACAATTTTAAAGGAGGACACGATTCTCTATATTGACTTCACCATCCACAAATGGAGGCACCACTTGTAGTCTGAAAAACAATGGCCTAAAAAGATGTTTTGAAACACACAATCCATAATGTACTGCTTCATAAATGATGCCTCTAGCCCAACCTGCCTCATCCTACTACCCAAAGACACTCTGTGGCCTGGAAGCGTCTCTGACTCCTTTCCCTGCCCCAACTCCTTGCCTTCCTACAAGCTGGTGAGATGGGTGAATTGGGTCTGCCCTTGCAGAGGGCACCCTCTGCCCCAGGGCACTAACAGACTCTCGTTGGGCACCACTATTTAGCACTGGAGGGTTCCTCTTTTGATTTAGGCCACGTGTCTCTGCAGTGCACATACACGGAGACCAAAGGCTGTCATGTCCTTTGGTGTCACAGAGCCAAACACAGCTCCACGTTTAGGCTCTCAATGCCAGGGAGCTTTGTTTGGTTCTTCAATATCCTCATTCTTCTTCACAGAAATAAAGGGGGACCACAAATACTGGCCTCCATAAAGAAGTATCAGTCATCTGATTTATGGTGCAAGAAATTTTATTTTGTTGGAACTTTCTGTTTTAGCATCAACATTGTAATTACTACCTTTTGGATCAGACCAGAAAGCCTGGAGAGGCCCTGGACGTAACAACATCCCCTACGTCCTGACACTAAATAAGACGAAATGGGCCTTGCAAGCTTGGCCAGTGGCACAATCCTTCTCGCTCAGGGGAGGGACGATCAGGTTGGAAAGGTCTAGCTTGTGTGCGGACAGGACACCCAGAGGTGACTGCTGTGTCCTGGGCAAAGGGGTTGAGACGATGGTGGGGGCAGCAAGCAGCAGCCAGACCACATGGGGCCAGGCGGGCCGCAGGAAAGATTCTGACAGTGAGAAACCTTTCACCTTTGTGACCCGTGTGCCACGTGGAAAATGCGCTGTAGGGGAAACTGTCAGGTGCTAATGCAGGCGGCCCACAAAGAGAGGACCAGGTGTTGATCAGGGTGGCAACAGAGGTCAAAGAGAAATGACCGGTGGGTAGGTACAGAGTTCATTTGGAATGCATGCAAACCAAAATTCCCAAGAAGCTGAATTCATTATTCAGGAAGTATGCAACGAACAATGTTCAAATGCCACCACTTACTGGGTGCTTCCAAAATGCTTGTAATCCTGGAGGCGAACATTATTATTCTCAATTCGCTGTTGTATAAACGCTGAGAGACCATTCAGTTTCCCACCCCACACTGGCACGAAAGTTCCAAGGGAACAGGACCTTATGTGTCTTAGCTGCAGTCTCTCAGGGCTTAGGGTGGAAGCTGTGACAAGGTTGGGCGCTTGTGACAAGGTTTTGCTGAATGAGTGAATTACAGGGAGGGAAAGAGAGAAATGAAAGATGTGTGGCATCTGGCCAGAGAAGCAGGCAGGAAGCTTCTGTAGGATTAGAAAGTTACAAGCATATCTGTCACAGTGTGGCAGTCATCAAAAGCACTTTGCTTTTCCTCCAGCACAATTTGCAGAGAGGAAGAGCAGGAGGAAGAATGTGACTACTCCCTTATCAGTGATTACCTCAGAGGAGCAACTGTAAACAGAGGACTAGAAAAATCTCTCTGACAGGCCACAGCATGCCATCAGAGTTATCAGACCGGAACTTTGAGAAAAACAAAATCTCAGTGAGAATCTACACAGCAGAGCACACAGAGGAATGGTTAACGGTCAATGAAAAGGAGTCTGAGGCAAGTCGCTCGCGGGGCGGGGGGGGAGGCGGCAATATGGTTCATCATTTCTTCTCATCCTTACATCAGGCCATCAGCTTTTGGGCTTCTAATAACAGAAGCTTTCTCTGAGTTCAGTGTCGCTGGGTTCAGCTCAATGATCTCCTCTTCTTTTGGAAATAAGACCCAGACAAAAGCTCATTGTGTGCCTCAGACATTGTTTTTGTAAATGCGGTGGGGGGAAAGAATAGAAGAAATGGAGTCTAAATCTTGAGCAACTGCGCTCAAAGACCTGTCATCAGTAATAGTTATCCAAAGACAACTGATAAAAACGTCATGAAGGGAGCGTTGAACCCTGCTGCACCCCTCTTTAGCCCTGCAAGTATAAATGGGAAGGAACCCTGGCTACTGTGGAGAACACGGATCCACAGCATTCTTCAGAACCCTGAATGGTAAGTTTCCGATTTAAAAAAAAACAAACCAACCCTTGAACAGATGTTATGCAATAACAGGTGAACATACAGAAAATAATCTTAAGGTGAGTAAGACATACTACTCTCATACATTTTGATAGCTAAAAGGAAACTTTCGGCTCTTACCACACGGAATTTCTCTAATCCAAGCATGTGCCCTACTGGTACTTACAGCTCCAAACCTTCGGCCGGGTTTGTATTCAAACCTCATTTCTAAAGCTGCCTGGGACATCGGCCACGTGTCCCAGGTACCCTTAGCCTGACGCCTTAGTTACCGCCACTCTGAATCAGTATTCAACTGGACCTTTCACCTTCCACTGGCAGGGGGCTGTGGCTCAGCTGGTCCCAGTGCCACAGAGTATGGAAGAGAAGAGGGAAAACCTAAATAAACCCTCCAGCCTCGCTGTTTTTAGTTGACTTTTTAACAGATCATTAATTTTGGAAGCCACACAGACTAATTTTAAAGAGCCCAGGGTAACTGATGGTCTTCTGGTAACTTCAAAGTGTGCGCCGAGGATGTGCTAATCTTGCTCTTTAATTAAAAGTCAAATAATAGTCAACTTGCAGGGAAATAATGTGTTTATCTAAAGAACTGCAAGGTCGGACCTAGGAGAAGAAAGTCAGTTGTTACCTCAAGGATGGTCTGGCAGAAGAGAAAAGAAAACCTTAGCGCTGCTTCTCTCCTCCCTCCCTGAAAAGCCCTTTGGTCCCTGGGTTTCCTAAGATCTTTGTTGGTGATAGCCTACCCCGCTCTTCAGTTTGCCAGCTTTCCAAATACATCTTTTTTCTTGCCCCAATAACTTGTCCTCCAGCTCGAGGGGCAAATAAAGGAAGCCAGGTTCCGTTACAACAGGGGATTGCAGCGACAGCGAGACCTCAGCTTCCTAGGAACAATTCAAAGGCAGTGGAGTGCATTCTGCCCGGAGTCAGGTCCGCGTGCGACTCAAGCCGGGGGGAAAAAGGAAAGCATCAGTGACAAGTGTCACGGGCCGACACCCCGACGACACCGTCCTCGGGAACGCGAGGTCCGCACCCCAGGTACCATAAAGGCCCGGAGCCCCGCCCCCCGGCTGCCCAGGACGCTGGGGGCGTGGCCAGCCCTCAGT